ACTGAACACTACTGTTTGAAGGACAGGTGTATTTGTCCTTTCATTTTTAAAATTTAATCTCCCATGCTCTTTGTTTTCTTTCACAGCTCCTCGTGATTTGCTGCATATAAAATTGTCTAAGTTTCTTTTATTTCTACTGAATTTACATTTACAAACTTGGAAAAAAGAGGAGATGAGAAGACCCAGGAGGTGTGAAGAAGAGGAGGGATAGGACTCCGTGCATCCAGGGGTGCTGCACCAGAATGTTCACTGCAGCTCAATTCATAATTGCCAACTCATGGAAGAAGCCCAAGTGTCCATCGACCCATGAATGGATTAATAAATTGTGGTATACCATGGAATATTATGTAGCCTTAAAAAAAGAGGGAGACTTCTCTCTTTTATGTTTACATGGATGGAGCTGGAACATATTCTTCTTAGTAAGTATCTCAAGAATGGAAGAAAAAGTATCTAATGTACTCAGTACTATTATGAAACCAATTTATAATCACTCACACTTTCATAAGAAAGATAAATCACAAGGATAGTCCAAGATGAAGGAGGGAAGAGGAGGGGGATTGGAGGGGAGGGGAGAGATTCAATGGAAGGAGGGTAAATGCTGGGACCATTCCTATGGTTCATATTCCAAGGGTACATGTCAAATCTATTAAGTATAGAGTATACTTAACACAATAATTAAGGTGAAGGTGATATTAATCAGTTTGATGTAAGCATTCCTAATTGTATATAAAATCAGCACATTGTACCCTATAAAGGCATCAATGTATACATGATCTATGTGTTTATGACTTAAAAATAAATAAATAAATAAATAAATAAAAAAGAAGAGATGAGAAGACCTGGGAGGTGTGAAGAGGAGGAGGGGAGAGGGTTCCCTGCATGGCAAGGCGGGGGCCCTCTGCCTTTCAGGCTCTGCCCAGCAACTGGCACAGATGCACATGTGCTATACATGCTCGAGTAGTCACTGAGAAGTTAATGATGTGGAAGGCCAGATAATAGAACATAAATTTTGGGATCAGTATTATGGTATAGTGGAAAGAATCTTTGCCTGGGAGTCGGGAAAATTAAATTCTTGGCTTAGCTGTGGCCTAAAACTTCCTCTTTTGTTCCAGACTTTATTTACAAATGAAGAGGTAACCCCAAATGACCTCTAAGATCTCCTTCATGTCGGTCATTCCAGGACTTCAGGATAATGTAAGCACCAAGTTCTTCTAATTTTTTACTTAGAATAGGAATTTAAAATTTCTTGTCTAGATTACCAAGCTTTGAGGTTATCTTATGAAAGTGAGAAAAATAAGGTGAGATGAGTTTGTTAGCAATGTAGACTCTCTATCCCCACCTACTGTACTGAAGCAGAACATGCATTTTAGTAAGATTCTCAGATTACTATTATTTATTTATTTATTTATTTTTTAGAGACAGAGTTTCACTTTGTCACCCTCGGTAGAGTGCCGTGGCACCACAACTTACAGCAACCTCCAGCTCTTGGGCTTAGGTGATTCTCTTGCCTCAGCCTCCCAAGTAGCTGGGACCACAGGCGCCCACCATAATGCCTGGCTAAGATTCTCAGATTATTGATATGCACAAAAAAAAAAAAAATAAAAAACTAGCTAGGCATTTTGGCAGGTGCCTATAGTCTAGTTTCTTAGGAGGCTGAAGCGAAAGGATTGCTTGAGGCCTAAGAGTTTGAGGTTGCTGTGAGCTCTGATGCCACTGCAGTCTACCCAGGTTGACAGAGTAAGACTCTGTCTAGAAGAAAAAGAAAAATTATCTGCTAGGTGGGGCGATTTTCTCTAGCAATGCCTAGCTATGGGAGGGCCTATGCAAAGAGGAGATGGCAGATGGTTAGATTCACCGAGGGCTGGGGTTCTGCTAGGCAAGTGGGCTGGCAAGTTCAGATAGAAGAGGGCTTGGGAGGCTGGGTGCAGCGGCTCACACCTGTAATCCTAGCACTCTAGGAGGCCGAGATGGGAAGATTTCCTGAGCTCATGAAATCTGAGTTAGAGTGAGATCACTCTAAAAATAGCTGGGTGTTGTGGTGGGCTCCTGCAGTCCCAGGTACTCAGGGGGCTGAGGCAAGAGGATTGCTTGAGCCCAAGAGTTTGAGGTTGCTGTGAGCTGTGACACCACAGCACTCTATGGGGGGTGGTGGTGACAAAGTGAGACTCTGTCTCAAAAAAAAAAATTAATAGAAGAAGGCTTAGGACAAAGAGAAAGTACAGAACTGAAGGTCTTAATGAGAACAAAGAACTGGAAGGAGGCTGTGATGAGCAAGCAGATGTCTGAATGTGTATGTTGAAGGACTGTGCACTTTCTGACAACGGGAAGGATCAAGGTGCTCATGGGAGTGGCTGAGTAAAGAAATCTGGAGGTGTGAGAAAGCAAACAAACTGCAGGAGCTGGAATTGTCAAGAACAGTGGGAGCAAAATACTTAACGCCCAGCTAGAGCCGGGCAGAGGACAGCAAGGAGGTGAGGAGGAAGGACAGAAGGTTAGATGTTTGCTAAGATGAGAGGGAAGTGTTTTCCTTATATTATTTCTGGTTAATATCAGGGTACATATGATTAGGTTATGTTATTTACATTTGTAAGGTAAAGAGCAAAGTGGAAGTTGTAGTTGAGTGCCGCACTTGGGAGGTGTGCCACATACACTACATTGTACCTGATAGGTGGGAGCTTCCTCAGCCCCCCACCTCCACCCCTGTCTTGAAGTTAATTGTGTTTTTCTCTGGTGTGGGACTGTAGGTATTAATCTACTATTTTCAAATTAGTAATGAGTACACAGCAGCTTGCTTTTCCATTCCTGAGATACTTTACTTAGGATAATGTTCTACAAATCCATCCAGGTACCTACAAAAGATGCAAAATCCCCATCTTTTTATGGTTGAATAGTATTCCATGGTATACCACAGTTTATTGATTCATTCATGGGTTGAGAGGTACATGTGTTGTTTCCACATCTTTGCAATTGGAATTGGAGCTGCGATAAACATTTGAGTGCAAAATGTCTTTATGCTAAAATGATTTTTTTGAAGTGATGTTTTGAGAGCAAGTGTGGGTGGCAAAGAGGACCCCAGACTCCTCTCAATTCTGAGAGGGTCAAGAGCAGGTTGGGTTGGATGAGGGAACAAGCAAAGCCATGTAGGAATGGAACCCTGGAAAACACTGGTATTTAAGGAGCTGACAGAAGAAGGAGGGAAAATTGGTGAGAGATGTTTATGAAAGCCAGGAAAGTAAAAATTGCCAAGGAGGCCCAGCACAGGGCTAACAGTGTCCCACGAATTTGGCATATAGGTCACTAGCAGCTTCAGTGAAGACCTTTCAGTAGGGCTATTTGGGTAGAAGACAGATTGCACTGGGTTAAAGGACATTCAATTAATTGTGTGATAGGGTAATAGCTGGAATGAAATTAGCAATACAAATTACTCTTTCCCTTTATTTATAAAATAGGACAATTCTATGTATTTTAGAGCTTCTGCCAAGAAATTTAAAACCTCTATCTTTTTTCTTGAGTTTAAATTGACAGTAATAGTACATATTCATAGGGTACACAGTCATGTTTATATGCAAATAATGCATAGTGATCAGATCAATGTAATTAGTGTATCTATCAACTCAAACATTTGTCATTTCTTTTTTTTAGGAATGTTCACTATCCTCCTAGCTCTTTGAAAGCATATATCATTAATTGCATCCTACAGTGGCACAGAACTTAATTCCTCCTACCTAGTTGTATTTTGTATTGTTCAAGAAATCTCTCCCTATTCCTCTCTTTACCATTTTTTTCTTGATTAGTTTTATTTTCATTTCATCCATTTCTTCAGCAAATACTAAAGTATCCACCATGAGGAAGCTGAGGTACAGAAAGGTCAAGTACTGCTGTGTCAAAGCTGCACAGCATTAAATAGAGGATCCAGATTCTGGACCTGGACATTAAATTTCAACCATTAAATTAGGAAGCTCTCAGCTTTTGGATGGCCTCTAAAGCCACAAGGCTAAATGAATTACCAAGGAGTACAAAGGAAGGAGTACTGAGGACTGGGGCACCCTGACATTTAGAATCTGAGGACGAGGAGGAACTGCCCTAAGAAAGTACAAAGGAGGGGCTGGCAAAGTAGCAGACTGAGGGGTTTTGGAAGCAAAGTTCAAGGTGAAAGGAGTCATCAGCTTTGCCAAAAGCTGAGAGAGCTTATTGGATTTAGCAAAGTGAAAGTCACTGGTGCCCTTGACAAGAGCAGCTGTGATGAAGTGGTGGGGTGGAAGCCTGATGGGGTGGGTTCAAAAGAGATCAGGGAGAGAGAGGAACAGCTGTGGCACGTTTGTACACACATCTGATCTAGCAGGGAAATGTCCGTAGGCCACAGGAAATGGAATGCAGTGCCTCTCTAAGGGTAGGGACACTTCATTCATAGCAAATAAGAGGCAGAGAAGTGGAGAGGGGCAACATGCAGCAGTGGGAGTGTGGAAGTTGTCTTCTGACTGCTTTTATTTTCTCTTGGTGAAAAGGAAGAGGGATCAGTTGAGAGTAAGAATGGTAATGACAGTATTAGAGCAGTGATTTTTACCCAGTGTTCTGTGAAAATTTTTAAAGATCATTAACTAAATTGTTTTCAAAAGAGGTTCAAAGCACAGTAAGCATATTCTTTTTCTTTCTTTTAGTCTTTTATTTATTTATTTGTTGAGATAGTCTCACTTTATTGTCCTGGGTAGAGTGCCATGGCATCATCATAGCTCACAGCAATCTCAAATTCTTGGGCTCAAGCGATCCTCCTGTCTCAGCCTCCCAAGTAGCTGGAACTATAGGCACCTGCCACACTCCAGCTAGTTTTTCTATTTTTTAGAGATGGGGGGTAAGACAGGGTCTCACTTTTGCTCAGGCTGGTCTTGAACTCCTCAGCTCAGGCAATCCACCTGCCTTGGCCTCCCAGAGTGCTAAGATTATAGGTGTGAGCCACTGTGCCTGGCCTTTACTTTTTTTTTGATCTACATAATTTAAGTATGCTGTGGAAATTTAACTATAGGTTCAAGTGTCCCATAAGATAAAAAAGGTTGAAAAACACTGTATTAGAGGCATGAGAAGAAAGAAAAAGGTAGGACATAGTAATCTAGGAGGGCAGGAGAGTGAATGCACTAGAGAAGTATGAAATACGATTGTCAGGCAACATTAAGAGCCTACTTGAGGTCATTTTAAAAAATCATCACAATCCCTAAACTACTAACTAAAAATGTGTTTAGCTGATTAAAAGATAATGAGTATGGGTGGAGGGAGGAGGATTCAAGGGTTCACTTCTGTGGTTTATCTTACAAGGGTACAAGTGAATCTTTCTATGAGTAGAATATGAACATTTTAACACAATAACTAAGAAAATGACATGAAGGCTATGTTAACCAGTTTGATGGAAGTGTTTCGGATTGTGTGTGAAAACACCACACTGTACCCGAGAAGTGCATTAATATACACAGTTACCATTCAATAAAAAAAAAAAAAAAGCTAATGAGTAACTTGGAAATACCTGTGAAATCATTCAGTAGACTACTACATGATAGATACTTGTCACTATACATGTACACTCACCAAAACCCACAGAAAATACAATACAAATCGTTGTCTTACTATGAACTTTAGTTAATAATAATGTACTAATATTGGCTTTGTAACTATACCACAGTAAAGCAAGATGTTAATAACAGAGGAAATTAGGGGAGTGGGGAGATAAGGAGTACATGGAACTCTATACTTTCTGAACATTTTCCTATAAAACTAAAACTGCTAAAAAAAAAAGTGTTTTAATTAAAAAAAAAAAAAGACAAAAACAAAGCCCAGGAGGAAAGGAAGTTAATGTGTGAGTATTGGGTGTAAGGGAGTGTTACCTTAGGGATGGAGAGTCTTAGACAGGAGGGGTAACCTGAATGTTCTGAGCTTCTTAGGGTGACATACAGTCAGATGCTGGGATAAAACGCCAAATGAGAGTAGATGACAGCCTTAAGACGGAGGGTGATGAGCATAGGAGGAGGAGGAGGCCTGCCAGGGCTCTTTCTTCATGCCTGCCATGCTACTGGTGATAAGGGCCACAGTGGGGCAGTCTCATTCTTGGCAATAGGCTTTTCTCTCCTACAGTCTGCAAAATGTATTGAGATTTCTGGCCTATAAAACTGGGAACAACAACAACAAAATAAAACTCTATGGTGCTGTTCTCCTTTCTTTTGTGTTCAGTCATGAGCATGTCAATCTGTCCTTAGTTTTATACTTATTTAATATTATTCATGGGAAGTGGCTGCTCCTACCACGTAACAAGGTTTTGAAATCTTGAATACTTTCAGTAGATCCACGTCTATACGAAGGCAAGCGTGTCCAGGAGCCGTCTTCACATTTCTGCATGAACTGGTCAAAGAGGAGCCTTATGTCTTTGTTCCAGCTGGGGTTAGGGATAGAACAGTCCTTATAAACTATCTTCTCAAAAGAAAATGGCCTCTAAAAGACAAAAAGACAACGAAGAACAATGATGGAAAGCCATCCTATTTCATAATATATTCTCCCATTTTCTAAGCCTACTTTGCTGCTTTTCTTCTTCCCAGAAGCTTGTCATTTCAAATTGGAAGGTAATTTTATGGATCACCTGGTCCAATCTCCTTGGAAATGGGAGACTGAGAAAAGGTTTGTCCATCATCCCCAGCTAGCTAATGGCAGAGCAGCACATAGAGACAGAAAGTTACCCTCCATGTTAAAAGTTCTGTCAGCAGGTAGGCACTGAAGCTGGAGGACAGAGGAGAGGTTCTGTCTCTGAGTGGGGGCTCAAGGAGGGGTTCTCTGACTTGAATATTGATTAGACAAGCAGAAATTAGCCAGCTGGAAGAATATTGTAGGCATGTAACCACTCCGCCCCCAATTCCGATAACCCCTACATAATCCTCTCCCTTGACTACGTGACCTTCTGAGTTGTTTCCCGGAAATGGTGGATTGTTGGTAAGACAAACCATGTCACACAACCTGCCCGAGGGCACACAGCTCCTTTTTTAAAAGCCTATGATCTCCTTTACTCAGAGAAATGGATTTGGAGTTGTTCCTTCTCCCAAAATTCCTTTCCTCCCTGGCATCTGTCTGCTCTCAATTGGATCTCAGTGAATAAGTAACTAGGCCTAGACAGAAACTCCCTTGTGGCTTTGACACCAGGCAAAGGAACAGGGTATGCAGAAGCAAAGGCACAGATCGGTTCTGATGGGCCTTATTTCAAAGGTATGAGGTAGGTACTAATTCGTATACCCATTTATTGACAAGGAATATTGATTAGACAAGCAGTCCCAATAACTGGATGACCTCGAAGACAGTGTGTAACCTACTATGCAGCAGAAGAAAGCAAATACTCCTGGGTATCAGAAATGAAAACTGGTTCTTTCAGCAGCAGTTCTCAACCTGTGGGTAGTGACCCCTTTGGGGGTAGAACGACCCTTTCCCCTTTCACAGGGGTCACCCAAGACCATCGGAAAACACCTATTTCCGATGGTCTTAGGAACAGAGACACCACTTCTCATGCATGGGGGTCACCACAACATGAGGAACTGTATTAAAGGGTGGAATCTGTGAATAGTTGCACAGCTTGTCAGTACTTTTTAATGCTATCTGCTTAACAGCAGCCCATCATGTCAAAGAAGACCAAGAGAACACTGATGGAAGAAGACAGATTTTTGAATAAGGATTGGGAATTGTGATAGTTATCTTTTTCTTTTTTTTTTTTTTTTGAGATAGAGACTCATTATGTTGCCCTGGGTAGAGTGCCATGGTGTCACAGCTTATAGCAACCTCCAACTCTTGGGCTTAAGCGATTCTTTTGCCTTAGCCTCCCAAGTAGCTGGGACCTCAGGCAGCTGCCATAACACCTGGCTATTTTTGTTGCAGTTGTCATTGTTGGTTAGCTATCCCAGGCAGGGCTCAAACCTGCCAGCCTCGGTCCATGTAGCTGGCACCATAACTACTGTGCTATGGGCGTGGAGCCTGTGATATTATCTTTTTTTTTTTTTTTG